GTGGTCTACGATTTTCCCTTCGATGGGGAATGAGGCGGAAAGTCACCCCTCCCTCATTAATAAAAATCTAATGCTCATATTTTTAAAGCATAAAAAAGTTAAAAGGAAAAAGTTTATATAAGGTTGCAACCTTAAAATGTAGAATTAGATATGCACATAAAAAATCCATCAAAAAAAAAGTTGTTTTAATGTTGAAAAACTCTCTACCTGATCATCTAGACATTGAGATGTAGGAATATTAAAAAAAAAAAAATTGATTTCCACAAATATTACATATTCCAACACATTATCTAAATCGTTCATTTTCAAAATCTTACTATATTTATAGATCAATTTGATTTTAACCATTTTTGGAGTTTAAAATTTTATAATTAGATATAAAAATAGATTTTCAAATAATTCTAATAACTTTTTACTTTAAAATTACATGCAATGATAAAATTTGTAGGTGCGCCTTAATTGGATTGTTTAATTGGATTGTTTAAGGTTCCACACCCAGAGTTAACCGTTTTCTTTTTTGAAGCTTACCCCCTCCCCCTCTCTCTACAAATGTACTCAATCTCTCCTAAACTCTTTATCTTTTTTTTATATCTCTCCCTTGCACTCGAGCTTTAGAGTCTCTCTATTAGAACTTATTAACATGCTGTAACCGATTGTTCTCCATATGCCCCATATGAAACTCACTACACCTATTTTCCAATCATGTTATCAAACAAGAGAAATTCGTTGCTCCATTTTCCTAACTAAATTATCAAGCTGGGGAAAGTTATTGAACCAACTTTCTTTATTTTTTCAAAATCCCAAGTATTCTCAATGATTATTGGTAAAATAGTAAAAAATTTATAAAACTGGGCCTCAGTGAATTAGTGGCATAGTTCTATAAAGAACCATTCAAATTCCACAGGAAGCTACTCAAAAATCTCAGACTTACAAAACTTTGAACACCCAATTTGAGAAGTACTGAGTAAAATAGTTGCTTAGGTCCATAAAGAATCATTTGAAGTCCAAGGTTTTTTAATTTTTATGCTTTTCTTTTATTTTTATTTTTTATTTTGTTCATTTGTTTTTCCTATAAAGAGAGAGAGAGAATGCACAAGTGCACAAATGCTTTGGTCTAGTTGGCATGTGTGTACAAAGCCAAATCATTTGTTGGAAATTATGAACAAAAATCATTCACCCATGGTGTTTATAGTTTCTATATACCAAAGTTAATAGTCTCATTGGACATATTGTCGCTGCATCCTCTCACATGAGTGATTGGCTAAGAGATAGCTTCCACCTCCCAAGCCTTTCTTTTCCCTGCAATAACAAACTGGACCATTATAGAAACTACTTTCACATAAATCTAATTGTTTTAAGCAATCTTTCTTTCGAGATAATAATAGAATAAAATCTTACAAGTTAAAATCAAGCACAGAGAATTTAAATTAAATAGAAATATGGTGTATAAAACTGGCCCTTATCACTCACCTTTTTACGCTCGATTGCACGGTCGTTGTCTTCTAAGTATGTCAAATCGAATCCGAGAGGACGCAACACAACCTCATATCTATAAAATTTCAATTCAAAATGAAGGAGTTTCAAATCTAATAAATGAATAAATAGATTGAAAAATATATAATAAGATTATTTATTTTTTATACAAAAATATCATAATCACCCATAATTATTAGATGTGAATATTAAATCATGTGAATATTATATCATGCGGTTAGAATGTACCATTGATCATCTTCAAAGTCCAAAAAAGTTTTCTTAGGACTATCTGAGGAGAAATGAAACCCCAACCATGTGGTTTTACATCGAACCATTGGGGTGTTTGTGAGCTTAGTATATGAAAGGCAACGGTCTCACTGTATACAATCTTGTAACTTAAGCATATCAAAGGCAATGGTCTCATCGCATGCAATATTGTACGAGTACTTATTAGTAATTTAAAAAAAGATTGGCATCACAAAAATCGGTTCGGATCAGTGAATCGGCAATCGGATCGCCGTTTTACTATGCGGAAAAAATAATGAACCGGTAGAAAAACACATGCAAAAATAGTGAACTAGCAAAAAATTAGTCCAGATCAATGAATCAGAGTTTTTACTGTAGTAAGGTGCCCTATTCTTGTAGGAAATATACTTGGATATATTTCCAAGTATCCGATTGGTCCCTAATCCTCTCACATGAGTGATTGGCCAATTGATAGCTTCCACCTCCCAAGCTTTTCTTTTCCCTGCAATAACGAATTGAACCATTATAGAAATTATTTTCATGTAAATATAATTGTTTTAAGCAATCTTTCTTTTGAGATAATAAAAAAATAATGTTTTACAAGTTAAAATCAAGCACAGAATTTAAATTAAACAGAAATATGGGGGATATAACTTGCTCTTATTACTCACCTTTCTACCCTTGACTGCGAGGTCATTGTCTTCTAAGTATGTCAAATTGAATCCGAGAGGACGCAACACAACCTCATATCTATAAAATTTCAGTCCAAAATGAATGAGTTTGAAATCTAATAAATGAATAAATAGAATGGAAAGTATAAAATAATACTATTTATTTTTTAGCACAAACATGCCATAATCACAGATGTAGACATGAAATTCAGTGGTTAGAGTGTACCATTGATCATCCTAGAAGTTCAAAAAAGTTTTCTTGGAACTCTCTGAGGATGAATGAAACACCCCAACTATGTGGTTTTGCATTGAACCATTTGGGGTGTTTGTGACCTTATTATATGAAAGACAATGGTCTCATTTCTTGCAATCTTGCATGTGTACCTATATTTTCTATACTTCAACTGACTACAAAAGACTAACCAATCAAGCAAATATGAAAGGCTAAACAAAATGTGAAATATTTTAAAATGAAAAAAGGACTTATATACCATGAGATCATTTATTTTTGGAATAAAGCGATCCCAATCACTTTTGACCATTAGATGAGAAATCCAATAGATGAAAGTGTGTTACAACAATCGAGAAATTTTATTTTAGATTTTGTGCCTAAACAATAAAACATCCTCAACTATCCGATTTGAAATTTAGCGGTGATTATGACCTCTTTGTATCAAAAGTAAATGGTTTCATTATATACATTTTGATAAATAAATAAATAAATAAATTGTATTGAGATTTAGTGATTTACTCCTCAGCAGAAACTTTATATGGTGGTCCCCCGACGTGATTGCCAATCTGCAACATATCATAACAAACATCTTAGGCCAAAAGATATTTGCTCCAGCAGGAACATGGAACATATTAAATATTCACTCCCATGTGAAATCCAATATAGGAGTATTTTTTAAACCTCAAATTTTGGGGATGCACCCTCCTAAACCCAACAACCAACTTTGAAAAGAAAAATAATCCATGTGCACTTTAATAGTGCTTGAGAAAAATAATGCCCTGGTAATGAACAAAGATTGTCTATTTTTTAAGGATCATATCTAAATATTTAGGAACTCAAAATCCATTTTTTTTTTAATACCCATCTTGTGATTCTACAGTATGTAAAAAATCTAACATTGAAAATATAATCTCCCAAGCAGGTCTTTTACTCGAAAGAACAAGTATATAGTGTACTCCCTCAAGAGGACACTACAGGAACGCGATGGTTATTGTCTTTAAAGATACACATGGTTATGGACTGTTAGATGGTTCACTCAATCATTTTCATGACTAAAATGTCTTTTTTCAGAATCATATCATATTCGTGTAAAATGACTATCATGCCTCTATGTTTGATCTTTGGAAATATATATGATGAGACCTGTCAACTTTTACACAAGAATGTCACGATCACTGTCAACCGTTGGATGTGAAATCAGATGGCCTGATGATGTGTCACTAATTAAGCACAAAGTCATAAACAAATTTTCTCGAAAGTTGTAATACATTTTAATATGTTCGATCTCACATCCAATGGCTAGTAAAAAATTGTGATCTTCTTGTACCAAAAATAAATGGTCTCATAGTATACAATCCATGGATTTTTTTTGTTATGTTTTTATACAATAAGCAAAGGTAAGAATTCCTACCGGGAATATGAGAGTTATGAGCTCTCCTCCTGGTTTTAGAAGCAATCTCATCCGTTTTGCCCATGTGGGTCTTAGTCTAGGATCAATAGCACAAAAGAACCTAAAAGTTCCAGGAGTTGGAAAAAAATTAGAAACATAGGCATAAAATAAGATAAATATTATAAAGATACGGAAAACGCTTATATAAGATTCCAATTGTACTTATAGAAGTAAGTTTATTTTTTTTAGACATTACAGATTTGACATTATCTTAAAAGATATACCACTTTTTGACATTATTCTAAAAAAGTGTGTTAAATCTACATCATCCAACTAAAACAGATGGTGTAGAACATCGTAATTTTATTTCTACAAGTAACTTTATTTCTACAAGTAAGGTTACCACCTTTCAAACCAAACCCAAAAGAACCTAAAAGTTCCAGGAGTTGGAAAAAATTAGAAACATAGGCATAAAATAAGATAAATATTATAAAGATACGGAAAACGCTTATATAAGATTCCAATTGTACTTATAGAAGTAAGTTTATTTTTTTTAGACATTACAGATTTGACATTATCTTAAAAGATATACCACTTTTTTACATTATTCTAAAAAAGTGTGTTAAATCTACATCATCCAACTAAAACAGATGGTGTAGAACATCGTAATTTTATTTCTACAAGTAACTTTATTTCTACAAGTAAGGTTACCACCTTTCAAACCAAAACCCAATAAAGAAAAAGTTCATTAAAGACGGCAAACTATCTCAAAAAAATCACTAAGGTACACTAATAAACAAAGTCATGACTTCAACAAGATCATTCAACTCAAGTACCTCCCCGAATATTGTTTAAAAAATTACTAAAAAATGCACTGTTCAGAATTTGGATTCTTGAAGTAGAGGGATGTTTTAGTAATTTTACCAATAAACAACTAGGCCAAATGAGCAAGAATCTTCTTAGTATTGATTCTATAACTGGAACAAGATATTTCAAAAAAAATGATCCTACAACTGGAACAAGAGATTTCAATAAAAAATACATGTTTCAAGTTTGGATCCTGGAACGAGTGGGTAGTTTTATAAGTTAGGATTGTCTACAAAAAGACCATTTATCTTCCGTACATGGAAGTCACAATCATTCTTGTTCCATAAATTTCAAAATAAGTGGTTGTAAGAGCGTCATTAAATAAACACAAAGTTCTAAATAAAAAAAAATCTCTGATTTCTGACTTGCCCCAACCCATCAAATTTAACATCTAATGAATAGGAATGATTGTGACCTCCATGTATAGAAGATAAATAGTCTCTTTGTAAACAATCCCTTATAAGTTGCCTCGGCAATCCAAATGATATAAAACACTTCAACTTTTACCGGGTTCCAAACGCTGGACAAGAGTTTTTAATGGAAAGACATTATCGAAGTTTGAACCCAAAGTAAAAAAGGTATTAATATCATTTGACTTGGGAGTAACTAAAATAGGAAAAATGAGAAAATATCCCTTCTTGTTTAGGATTCCACATCTAGAATCGTAAAATTTTGGATATTTTAGTAAATGAGTAACCAATTTGCTGATAATGGGTCCATTAAATCATCTCGATGCTTTTTAAATTTGTTTGAACATTTTAATGATATTTTCATTGTAATTATAAAAAAAAAATTTAAAAATTAGATGCAAGATATACTCACGTGTAATCGAAAATTAGATCAAAAGCCTCATTTGGTTTCCAATTGAAAAAATCTGCCTTCAAGAATGTAAAGTGATCTGAGTTTGGGGCAGAGGAGGATAACTGCCATAACAAATCAAGTTGAAAAGCTTTAAAAATATACAGTTAGTCATGAACTATAGAATTAAGCAAATACTAAGATTGTTTCTTTTCTATTTTGTGAAAAATTTATAAAAATACACCTATCATATCAACTATTTAACATTTTACCTCATTTCAACCATTCCAACTCATGCACGTCAGCACGTCTCTCTTTTTTAAGTTTTCAGAAATTAACTCATAAGAAGTTTGCAAATATGGGTGTGGTTTTTATAAGGTCGAGGCCCTAAACCATCAAAATAAGACGCGTCTTCAAATAGTGTCGAGAGATGTTGTTTCAATAATAGAAATCTTTGTGATGGCCTGAAAATTTATTTTCATCTCTAATTATAAAATTTAAAGCTTAAAAACTAGTGTAGATCGAGCAGATCTATGAACACTTGAAAAGCTTGAAATTTGACAGTTCAAAATGTAATACAAGATGCACTATTTTTAAGACTTGAAATCCATTTTTTTTCACATCCATACATCTTGAGGTTGAGATGATTAAATTGAGGATTTTTGGACATTAAAACAACCTCTTCTAATGAATTTTTGAGGTGCACCATAATTCAATTGTTTAGGGCCTAGGCGTTATATAAATTTTTTGGAATGCTAAATAGTTCATCTCTAAAGTGTATTTAAATAAATTTCCCTTTTTCTCAATGAATATGATGGACAATCTAGATATCTAGATAAAACTACTTCTTTTAATCAGGTCCATTGAAGAAATAAAGTTTTATGGATAGATTATTATCATTATTTATTTGTCAGTTTGAATTTATGAAATTTACATAACATAAGGAAATTACCTCTTTTGCTTTGTCAAGGGCATTATCGGAAATATCAAGGCCCACGACATAACGTTGGGGACTAGCCAAGGCTACCACATCATAACCCTGCAAAGAAAGAAAAATGATAATATATAAACGTTAATTGTGACCTCCATGTACAAAAGATAAAATGGTCTCTTTATAAACGATTTCATTTGTTCAGTGGGAGTAGCATACTCCTGGAGAACTCTATACAATTTTTCTAGGCAAAATACCAACTCATTGAAGAGGATTTGCAAACACCCACTTGAGTGGATTTGTTAGATATGAAATTAAAAATCGCCTTAGAATCACTATATGAATATTTCCAGGGAAAAAAAAACAGAGCTAAGAGTTATTACACACTTAGGTCTGATTATCAGATGGTCTGTGTTCTATCCAAAGGCCCAAATTTTTTTGAGGCAGGTATTTATTCAATGCTTTTTGAGGTCGGCTGATAGGCTGGGTGGATTTGATAGGCTGGGTGAATTACATCCCCAAATCTTTATCCTAAAAATACTCTTAGCTATGGTTTTTCCCGATGGAGCAAATGTATAGTTTATTTGTATGAGACCAAATAATCTTATTCCTAATTTGCTTATAAATGGTAGTTGTTTCACAAAAATCAAACTAGGGGTGGCAAAGGATCCGATGGCTCAGATAGGAGCAGCTCGGGATCGAGCTATTACATTTGACCCGAGGGCTGGTTCCAGTCCTGAAATCTAAGCCCAGTGTCTAAGTTGGATCATGCCTGGTTGTGCCAGCCCCACTTGCAGGTCGCGGCCTGGGCCAACCCCATTGACAGGCCCAGGCTGCGCCATTGAGCCCAAGATTAAGGCTGAACCTTGGCTAGCATTCCTTTGGCCCAATCCAAGCCGGGCTATCTAAGCAGAAGTAAGGACGAGTCTGTGCTATGATCCCATTGGCCCGATCTGAGCTGGCCCATGATCCAAATTCAAGCAATAAATTCCATTAAAAACATATCTAAGGTTTGGAGCCTTTAAGTCAATGGCAAAATTATTAAAATATCCCTGCTATTTAGGATTATGAATCTATAATAAAAGCAGTTTGGAGTCAAATGACCATTTTCAAGTAACCATTTGTTAATAACTTGGTTAATTCATTGTTCTCAATGATTTTTTAAGTGGTTTGACAATTTTAATGCTATTTTCTCTATCAAAAAACCTATTTAAATAAAATTAAGCTAAACCCAGACATAAAGTGGGGATTTTAAGGTTTAATTTTAGCGATTATATGGGGTTTATGAATTAGATAGAGCCAAGCCCAAGCTTATTTTATTTCTATATATTTCATATGTAAATCATCATAATCATTATCATAGCTTTTTTCCAACTACTTGAGGTCTGCTATATGAATTCTGATCAATTCAGAATTCATAGTAAGTTTTAGCAAAGTTTTTACAGTGGCTGCCTACCTAATACAATCTACCTCCTTTACCCAGGCTTGACAATCTACCACCTTTACCAGGCTTGAGACGGGTTAAGCGAAAATTTAAACATCCTCACCCACGATATCTTATATAAATACATTAAAAAATCCCTCCATTTTAAATTACATATAAAAAAACATTGTAAATTTGAAAACAAAAAAAGTAATAATAGAAGGAGCTTAGTACTTACACTGCCACACCCAGGGACCAATGCTCTCCCACTAGGAAGGGTTTGTGTTTGAAGGAGATGCAAAATTACAGGTGTTGGCCCTCCTAAATCCCAAGGTACCAAGCCTTCCACCCAACACTTGTCCCATCCATCTACAAATTTCCACCAATAAAAAGTATCATCAAAATGATAATTTCACATCTCATATTTTTCCAAAAGCACATAACAATAAACTTTGTATCTAATAATTTCCACCAATAAAAAAATAAAAAATAAAAATTTTCCACCAATAAAGTATCATCAGATTCAAAATGATAATTTCATTTCTGATATTTCCAAGTAATAACAATAAACCCTAATTCTATATGACATGTATGCATTTGTCCCTTGCAATCCCTCTTTCCACAAAAATATGAAAACCCAATTCTATTTTCCATAGAAATTAAAACTTAAAACTTCAAATCGACAAACAAAATTTAATCTTGAGAACACCCAATATTTTGCAGCTATCAGAACTCACCACTTTTTACAAGCTTCCGCATTTTCCCTAGACCTGGTGGCATTTTCTGCTCTTCCAAATTTCTCCCTTCACTTCCTCCCCCTCCTTTACAATTTAGGGCAACCTTCCCACAACAAAAAGATGAATTTTTGGTGGCCTCAAGTTTTATGGCCACCCCAGAATTAGAGGCCACCCCAAATTGAGAGAGCAATAAGCCAAATTTAGGAAATTTTGGAGGCACCCCAATTCCCAAGGATGCAAAAATTCTGGGCGTCCAAATTTTGAAGAGCACCCCAAAAGCCAGAATTGTGATGGGTGCCCTGGATTTTTGAGGGAATCCAAAATGTAAATAAGAGTTTTTGGGTGGGTGCCCCAAAGATAAACGGAAACTAGAATGAAAGGGTGGGTGCCCCAATTTGGGGAATCGGGTCACCACAATTTTAGAGGGTTATTTATAAGGGCACCCTAAAATAAAAGAGAACGTTTTTCTTGGACAATTTAGGGACTTGTGGCACCCCAAATTTTCTTATAGGTTTGGAATTTTTATTCACTTTTGAGATGTTATAGATAGGACGTTCTCCATGAGCAGATGAATAGCCCAGTTGCTTTATCATAGCATAAAATTATTAAAAATAAATTGAACCACAAAAGTTTTTATAATTAAAATGTGAAATTTAGCCCACTTGCCTGGCTAGTTTTCAACAAGTCCATAGCCCATTAATGCACAAGATTAACCAAATTCTATATTGCCAATGCTTTTATGGGATGTGTTTGTGTTAATATTGCGCAATAATAACGCTTCATTTCAATTGATTTGATTATAACAGTAAAAAGAGGCACAGCTTATCTAACTATCCCAAGTTAACACTAAATCTATTTGTATTAGAACCTCCGCTTTAATGTGATATAAAATGACTTTTTTTTAAAAAAAATATAGACTATTTATCTTTAATGCAAAGTGCTCACAATTAATCTTAACCATTAGATGTGAAATTGAATGGCTTTATTTATTCTATTGACCAAGCTCAAACTTCAAAAAAAAAATTCCCTAACTGTATGACATACCCAAGTTCAAGTTCATGGTTGTAAATAGTTGGGACCTCTTAGTATCAAAAGTAAATGGTCTCATTGATATAAAAGATAAATGGTGTATTTGTAGACAATTCCCATTTTTTAATATTCTTTACATTATGGTAAATGTTAAAAATTGTTTTGGTCATCAATACTCACTTTGTATTTTCCCATCTTTTTTGAAAAATTATAAAAATACCCGTAGACACAAATCGATTCTTTAAAATCTATTTTTTTTTATTAATTTTCAACTTCATTTGAATGTGTTTTGTTTTAATCATTCTTTATATGCTTTTCATATTTTAGTAGATTTTTTTAATCTTTTTTATTTTTTTCAACAAATTTTTTACTGTCGAGAGTTGCCTCGGTAGAATGGTGGAATCGGCCGGTTTACCGATTAGACCGATTAAACTGCTTCTGACCCTATGTCCGGTTAACCGTTCCAGTTCGATTTTACGAACTATGATTGTGATGCATAGATAATTGTAAAACGAATGGTGCAAGTAACCATATCCGATACGTTGGAAACATATGTAAAAGCACCAAATAAAAATTTGAAGCCATGTTCATGCCCAAAGTCATGTCTCTGCATAATTGGTTGGAAACTCAAAAGTATATCTCTCAATCCAAATCAAGTTGGCCATCCCTTGGTAAAGAAAGGTTTTGTGCTTTCATGTTCTTTTAAATTTCGTTGTTGGCCGTTGCGTATTTCAAGAAAATGGATGCACGATAGCACAACAGATTTCGCGCTAAGCTAGCCTTTGCTTGTTGCTTTTGAACTGTAGTTTGTTGGCTTTTTTGCTCTTGCCAAACAAATTAATATTGTTGTCCAACCCTAAGCACATGCCACGCGGCCTAAATCCTTCATCTTCATTCTCTTTCAACAGGTAATTATGCAATGCATATATAAACAAATCGGAAAATATACAATAAGACCATTTGCCTTTCACAGGAATATAACAAGACCATTGACTTTTCATAGAAGGTCACTATTATCCCCCGCCGTTAGATCTTAAATTATACAGCTGAGGGTGTCTCATTGACCACATAAAAAGTCTGAGAAAATTTTCATCAACTTTGTGAAATACCTTTAGCTGCCTGATTTCCCATCTAATGGATAGAGTTCATTGTCTTCTTATATCATAGATAAATGTGGTCTCCTACACTGTTCGTAAATGAAAAATCAAAAGAACCCAATCAACCATAGAACTCAATGCTGCCTCCAGAGCCTTCCTGGGTGTCAAGAAATGCTCTCATCAATTCTAAAAGCACATAACAGTTAACCTCAGTCTTTCAACAAATTCTGAATAGAAAAATTTGAAAAGCCAACATTTACAACAACAAGAAAAGGTGAAAACATGATGGGAGTATTTTGATTGTGTGTGAGAGAGAGATAGATAGAGAGAGAGAGAGAGAGAGAGATTTCCTAACATAGACATATTGATAGTGGAGCTTCTACATTATAAGTTAACCACATAAGTTCTTTTAAATGATTAGACAGAGAAATGCATAATACATACCATCAAGGCGTGTGCTGGATACAGGTAACAGCCAAAAAACCCTCTGTTACTGTGGGAATTTTAAACTGAATTGCCAACAAAATAGATTGATGGGCCCCTGAATAGAAGAGATTGCCAACATTATTTTGCTCTGTTCTTGTTTTATTCAATAATTAACATCCATAATGAGGAAACAGAGGGTAATGGAATTGGCTAATTTAAGTGCTTGAAAGTAGACATTATATTAAGGGTGTGGTTTCTATAAGGTTGCAACCTTAAGCAATCCAATTAGGGCGGTCCTCCAAATTTTATCATGACATGTAATTTTGATGAAAAAAATTCTTAGGATAATCTGAAAATCTATTTTCTTATCTAATTATATAATTTTAAACTCCAAAAATGGTTAAAATCAAGTAGATCTATAAACATATGAAAATTTTGAAATAGATAGTCTAGATAATGTGTTGCAAGATGCACTTTTTTTTTTTCCCATATTCATGCATCTCAATATCGAGATGGTCAATTAGAGGGTTTTTCAACATTAAAACAATATTTTCCGATGAATTTTTGAGGTGCATTTTTAATTTTACATTTCAAGCTTGCAACCTTATATAAAATTTGTCCTTATATTAATTATCAAATAGAAGAAGCAAAGATCAAATTGTTGCTCAAAAAGGCATACTACATAAACTAGACTCATGGAAAGGTAGTTATAGCACATCATTGAGGTTGAACTAACAAGATTCCAAGGTACAAATACTCGGGGAGATGAAAGAGGGGCTTCCTCTATAGATAAAGGGAAACTTTTCCATATGACATTAGGTGTAGGAAAATTATTATGTAAACTCTTTCCCAGCTATCCAATCTAAATGGACGACTGGGATGACTTTAATTACAATGTCATATTGAACACAGTTTTATTGTTAATTATATATATGAGCAATGATCCAATGCAATGGTTGTATCATAGTATAATGTAACGACACTTCTAGAAAACCATGTTTGTGGTATTTGTATGACACCAAATTTTGGACACACACTCTCTTCATCTTAATAATCAATCCCCCCAAAAAAAAAGTTCAATTTGAACTCTAGATATGGTCAAAATGAGTCCTCTCCAAAAACGAATCTAGAACATTCATTTTGTGAATTTCAAGATCTTAGCCTTTATAAACTCAAATCACTTTTTTATTTTTTAACATTGTTCATCTAATGATAATAAAGCCATCCAAATAAATTGTAAATGAAAAAAATTCTTCTAAGGCCTAAATCTATGCATCTCACCAAATGAACGGCCTATGTTAATTGGGCTAAAAAATACTTTCTAGGTTGTGTTTTCAATTTTTTCTTTCTTTGTGATTGTTCATTAGAATGAAAAAAGTGTATCTTTCAAATTTTGGATCAAACAAATGGCCATAAGATGGTTTTTTAAGGTTGTTGCATCATATTACTATAAACGGTTGCATGAAATCATTGCCCTATATCTATATACGACACCCAAATTTCATGTCAACATGATTTGTAGAAAAAAAGAATTAAAAATAAAATGCTCTGAGTTGTGTGATCGAGATAAAATGATAAGAGGTTAACTCGGGACAGTATGCCTGAAGCTATCTCAGTTCATTCATATCGGATGGCTGGGAGAGGGCATATATAATTTTTCGAATTTTCCTACACCTAGTTACAAATACAAAGGCTTCTCACAGATAAAATAGAAGCATTTCATGATCCAAGCTTGGAGTTTAGTGGAAGTAAAAGTTACCTCTCATAAGAGCTGACAATTATGGAACCCGAACCAAACTACCAATAGTATTTTCTCAACTTATGGCCTCTTTATCGGCTTCCAGGTAGTAAGATCCTATATTCAAAATATTTTAAAAGGTCTGATAAAAGACTCTATGCACCAGCCGCAAATAACTTAGAATATTTTCAAATCAAAGGTTCATAGTAAAATGAAAAACACTTACCAAAAAGAAGGAAAACAAAAGACAAAAAAGCAATTGAAACTGAGGCTACTTTATCATGATCTCTAGAGCCGCCATCAAACAACAAAGAAATGAAAAGAAAATACCTGATATGACATTTGCATACAGTGTATGAAGAAGCTGTGCATCTGGTTTGAGGAAGCAGTTGTGAAGAATTCAAAATCCTCATGAATTATTAAACATAGAATGGATCGTGTGAGGCTGAAACAGCCAGTGTAAGAAGAATCTGCATCTAATTTGAAGCTGTTTCAAGATCACCAAAATTCCCACAAATGATTAACATTGATAAGAACCTGAGAGCCACCCACCCAACAAGAAACCCACCCAACAAGAAAGAGGACGACCAACTACCAAGTACATGCAGGCAACCACAGCCCAGAATCGATAAACATTAGACTAGCAGATGCCATGCAAAAATTTAAATATGAAAACAAAGAATTGATATGATTATCCAAAAAAAAAGAAAATGCTATGGGTTGAGATCACTCATCTTACCATGAAATTAGGGGAACTTAGTTAATGGCAAAAACTATGTAATGTCTTTGGGTGTAAGAAAGGGAATGCTCACAGTCACATAGACAATTTTCCATGACGAAGCAACGTGAGCATTGCTCTTTGCAAGAGAACCCATAAGCAAGTTCCCTGCAAATAAGCATTTGGAGGTAAAGCAATAGCTGTATCACCAGTAATCCCCACATGAGCAGGAACCATCGCGAAAATGATGAAAACAATTAGCATCTCTCATTATGATCTCCCTCTGAGTGACTGCAGAGGCAAACACGAAGGTTCTTCATAACCTGGATGGGCACACCAACTGGCAAGCTCATCAATCCAAAAGCAACAGCCAACTTCTCACCATGATGCCCATGAGAATCAACATGGCCATTACTCTTGTACCCAATTCCTCTAATCTTCTCAAGAAGACTATCCAACACTGCTCGAACATCATTGATTCTTGGGTGGCTCACATCATCAACTGTAAATGAATGAATAGTATTGTCAACTTCTACCCAACTGCAACCAGGACTCTTCCTTATTCCTCTCTCCCTCATTAATTTCCTAACATCTGAAACACCATTAACATCACCAATATCAGCATACATGTTAGCCAATAGCACATAACTCCCTGAGTCCTTCGGATCCAACTCAAACAAGTGCTTAGCTGCATGCTCTGCAAGCCTAATATTGCCATGGATCCTACAAGCACTTAGCAAAGCTCCCCATACACCAGCGCTTGGTTGCATTGGCATGCTATCAATCATATCTACTGCCTCTTTTAGCCTACCAGCTCGACCAAGCATATCTATCATGCATGCATAGTGCTCAGAATTCGGAGATATACCATAATATCGACTCATCGAGTCAAAATAGTGAATCCCTTCTGATAAAAGACCAGAGTGGCTACAACCAGATAAAACAGCAATATAACTGATATAATCTGGTTTAGTGCCTGTTTTTAGCATGTTCTCGAACAATTCGATTGCTTTTGATCCTAACCCATGTTGTGCATATCCTGCAATCATAGAATTCCAAGATACTAAATCCTTATTGTAAATACAATTAAAAATTGTGTGGGCCTCCAGAACTCGTCCACATTTCGAATACATGGTAACAAGACCGTTTGCGACTGAGACATGGGAGTCAAGCCCGACTTTGATCGTTTGAGAAAATACTTGGCTCCCAAGTTTTAAAGATGCCAAATTGGCACAGGCACTGAAAAGACTAGCAAAAGTGATCCAGTCTGGTTTTAAATCTCCCTCCCTCTTCATACGTATAAAGAGTTTCAATCCTTCTTCGCAATAATCATGTTGAACAAATGATGCCAACATTGAATTCCAAGTAACAGTGCTCCTTTCAGGCATCTTTTCAAAAAATCCATATGCTTTTTCAACATCACCCATTTGGGAATACACCGTTATCATTGTCGTCCATGAAATTATATCTCTAGAAGGTATGGTCTGAAACAAAAGGCTTGCATTTTGAAGGCTTCCACACTTGGAATACATTGTAACAAGAGCATTTGCCACTGGGATTGACGAATCATATCCAATTTTGATGGTAAACGAATGAATACAATTGCCAAGGCTTAAACTTCCTTGACTCGAACAAAGTCCTAAAATGGTGGCAAGGGTGAACTGGTCTACACTAACTGGTATTTCCAACATTTCTTTGAACAAAGCGAGAGCTTCTTCAACTTTCCCAAACCGAGCGAATCCTCCAATCATCGAAGTCCAAGAAACTGCATTTTGTTCCAATAAGCGGTCGAACAACTGCTTTGCTGCCTCTAAAGAACCACATTTGGCATACATATCTATAAGGGAACTACCTGTAAATACATCAATTTCAAGCCCCGAACGCAAAATTCTCGCATGCAAATGCTTCCCCCATTCCAAATCAAGCATACCAGCACAAGCACTTAAAGCACTAGCATATGTTATACCATTTGGCATCCACCCTTGCCTTACCATTTCCTCCAATAAAACAAGGCATTCAACCCCTTTACCATGCTGAGACAGTATCGAAATCATGGTATTCCAAGAAATAAGGTCTCTTTGATTCATTCTATAGAAAAATTCAAGAGCATGCTCCACACTCCATAACCTCGAACATCCAAGAATCATAGTATTCGATGTAAATGCATCAGGATCAAGCATGTCATTGAAAACCAATTTCGCTGATTCAATTTCATCACACTTAACATACATATCGACCAGAAGAGTCTGAACCAGAGGAAGCCTTTCGTAATCCAGCTTCACCAACAAAGAATGGATTTGTTGGCCAAATCCTAACAATGGATAGCACCCAAAAGCCTTCATAACACTAGCAAAAGTAAACTTATCAGGCCCCAAACTAGAAAATTGCAGCATTTGTGCAAACAGTTTGAGGGTTTCCACACCTTGATTATGTTGAGCATAAGCGGCCATTAAAGTGTTCCAAGAAACAGAGTCTCTTTCACCCATTTCATCAAACAATTGAGAAGCTTCGCCCAACCTGCTAAAGCTCGAGTAAACAGCGATCATGGTGTTCCAAGAAAATACATTTTTTGACTGAATTTCATCAAAAACTTGTCGCGACTCACTGAAAAGACCACACTTTCCATAGAGACTGATTAAATGGTTTTGCAAAAAAATGGAAGAACAACACCCATCTGTGATCAAATGGGCGTGGAGTTGTGAAGCTTGGACAGACACTTTGGCTTCCCCACAAGCTTTTATGGCGAAAGAGTAGGCCTCAGACTTGTCAGTGCATATTCTTTTATCAGAACTATAGAGAGAATCCATGGCTTGTTTTAAGAGCCTCCTTTCTGTGTCATGAACTGGTTTTTCACATAGGAATGAAATGGGTCTAGAGATTGTCCGTGAAAAAAAACAATCCCTGCTCAAAAGTGCAAGCTTTGGAGATCTGAGGATGAAGCAAGGGAAAACTGTGAAGTGTATGATCACCCATTTGGGCATTTAGAGAGAGAGAGAGATTCAAACCTCTCTCGTCTATACCTGAGTTAGGGAGCGAGAGAGAGCTTAAAACTTCTCTCCTCTTGGCCTGATTTCTCCGGCTCGAGCGCTCCCGTCTCCACAGTTTGGACGTGCCAGTAAGAACTCGTTTGGATGGACAATTTATTCACAATATTTGTGTTTCATTCTCGGACCATTTCATCCTCCGTCTGTCTTGGATTGCAGAATACCAAAACGGAAGAGTAGGGGTGTGCAGAGTGAAAAATAATAGGGGTTTTTTGGTTGGTTCATGTACATATTCCCCCAGTTTTCAAATGTTTGGTAACTCGGTTTAAATATATACATGAATTACTTTTTGGGTGTGGTTTGTATAGAGCCAAGGCTCTAAACAAGATAATAACTTTAAAATATATTTTCATCTTTATATACATGCACTACTTTTTTAGTGTGGTTTGTATATGTATGAGGCTCTAAACATGGTAATAGCTTTAAACTATATTTTTATTTTTAATTATAAAATTTAAAGTTTCAACAATAGTGTAGATTGAACATATCTATGAAAACTTGAATAACTAAAAAATTGACAATTAAAAAATGTGTTACAATATGCACTATTTCCAAAACTTGAAATCTATTTTTTTCTCAATTCTATGCATCTTGAGTCGAGACGATCGATGTTGAAAAACTTTGTAATAGCATTAAAATATATTTTCATCTTTAATTATAAAGTTTAAAGTTTCAACAATAGTGTAGATCGAGCAGATCTATGAAAACTTGAATAACTAAAAAATTGACGGTCCAAAAATGTGTTACAAGATGCACTATTGCCAAAACTTGCAATCCATTTTTTTCTTAAATCCATGCATCTTGAGTCGAGATGATCAATTTGATGATATTTAAGCATCAAAACAACCTCTTAGAGTGAAAATTTTGAGATAAGCTCCAATTTGATTGTTTAGAGCCTAGGCTCTACATAAACTTTTCCCTTATTTTTTTGGGTGACTTAGTGGAGAGAAGGCCCTACTATTTGTAGGAATTGAACGTATGATGTAGCCTTCCAAATCGTCAAGTCGCTAACCAATTAAGCCCGAGCTCTTTTCCTTTGCACATGCACTATTTAATGAGTGTGATTTGTATGGAGCCAAGACCCTAAACAATTCAAATAGTGTTGAAAGATGTTGTTTCAATGTCGGAAATCTTTGTGATGGCTTGAAAATTTATATTCATATCTAATTATAAAATTTGAAATTTAAAAAATGGTATAAATTGAGCAAATCTATGAACACTTTAAAAACTTGAAAATTAACGGTTCGAAAATACATTTCAAGATGCACTATATCTAAGACTTGAAATCATTTTTTTCTCGTGTCTATACATCTCGAGGTCAAAATAATCAATTTTACGATTTTTTGGCATTGAAACAATTTCTTTTAGTGTTTTTTTGAAGTATGCTTTAATTTGATTGTTTAGATCCTCGCCCTAGTATAAACTTTTTCTATTATTTATTTGAAAAATGAGGTTTCTACAAGGCCTAGGCTTTATGAAAACAAAATAAAGCCTCACCTCAAATCCTCATTCGGAAAGTACTTTCAGCGACATAAATCTATATAATAGCTCT